TTGAATACAACATATTGTTCGTTTGATGCTTCTTGACTTGTCTATGTGACGCTTTTGTCTGTCGTATTGTGTCATCTAATGCGTATGTTTGTTTTGTCGGATCCTTGTTTTGCTTGACCTTGCTTCTTGACTTTCTCCTGCTCTTATACATATCTGAAACACTACTACACTTTTTGTTAGTAACAACAATATGTATTATATTTGTCTCATTCAAAATCTTGCTGGGAAATGCTTTATTTTCGTTTGACTGAAAAATTTCCCCCTTTTTGATGATGACAAATATAATTAATCAAATTAATTATTTCAGATAAAATTAAATCTTCTGAATCAGAGCAATTTGCAAGCTGCATATTATTCAATGTATTACAAGTCTCCCCCTTAGTATATGCTCTCCCTCTTACTTGATTATTCCTTAGAAGTGTATTTGATTAATTTTTTATTTATTTTTATTTCTCCCCCTTTGTAATCATAAAAAAAAATGGACAGAATAAAGTGTGAGAAACCAATTTAATAAAACAATAAGATACTTAGGACAAGAATTTTGAAATGTGAAGAGAAAAAAATTGTGTATTGAATGGAATGATAAGTGTGTACAAAATGAATGTTCAAACAGAAGTACACATTGTTTTTCTCTTCCTAATATGACTAATCTTGCATGGGCTATCGTATCTTCCTCAATATGATCATCCAGCAGGAGGTAGATCTTTGGAAAGCTTGGAGGTAATCAAGTTGAACAGGCTGTCAATTTTTTTTTCTGAGTCTGTTCTAAACCTGTTGAAATCCTTAATTGAGACATATTGTTGTGCTGGTTCAGAAGCAGATGGAAGTACCTCCATAGGAGCATATGCAGATATTGGTTCAGCGAAGATAGGCCCAGACATTTGGGATCCAGATTGTGTAACTTCGGAGGGAGCATCCCAAGGCATAGGCATACCTGGTTTCGAGGGTGGAATGTCCTTGCACCATTTATACTCTACCTTATGCCATGTGTTTGTGACCACCTTCCATTCATTCTTATATAAATCGAGATTGAATAGCATAGAATGAATGAAGTATCTTTTACTAAGAGCGTCAAGATCATACCCACGTCATCTATGAAGAAAGGTAGCAGATGTGTCGCTGAAGTGCATCACTTTGCATGGGGTCATCCATTGATACCCACGCAGCATTAGGGTCTTGGCCTTTTCTTCGTCTAAGAGACCAGACGGACTTGCCTCTTGACCGCACTTATGCATGAAGTTCTGATACAACTTTTCAATGTCATCTTCAGTGTATTGTAGTGCTCTGACCGAATCTTGTTGCCAGTCCAAGTTTACTCCTTTATAGTGGCAAACCTCAACCTTTGATGGCTTGGGCATTAGTCCCAGATGTAGTGCAGGTTCATTCATCATATTTTGATCGATTGGAGGAAGATGAGGGCAGATACAATCAGGATAGATATAAATTTGTATTTTTTACTGGAGTGTATAAAGAGGGAAGTATGTACAAATGTAAGGGTGTATCTATACATAGGCACAGATGGCCAATTGTTACAAGGTCTGACGCAGAGAGGGAGCGATAATGACCTATATGTACAGGAAAAAATTTATCAGGAGAATTAAATAATTCTACCTTTGGTAAATAGGATGGAGGCTTTCTTGGTTAGGTGGAGGATGAGGATTGTTGATGGACAGGACGGATGAGTTGAGGAGTCCCTTGTGGTGGAGTCCATGCTAGTTTGGACTTGATCACCCCTCCTCGATAGATCTTCCTCTTGAAGGTTGGTGGAGGAAGAGCAGTTATGGCACTGGGTGAAAGAGCTAGATAGGCCTCAGACAGAGAGAAGGGTATGTTTGGGCAGTATGGTGTGCACTCGTACACTCTTTTCTCACAAGTATTCTTTGCTTAGCTTCATCAGGCTTCATAATAAACTTAAGCTTTGGCTTGAGTGCATATATAACTCTCACAGAGAGGGTTGAGATTTTTTTTACACTCTTTAAGGTTGCTACCTTAGTCTAACAAAGACTTGTATTTTAGTGTTTGGGTTACTCTCATGGAGAGGATGCATAGGTTTACAGTACTCACTAATGTTTTGTTCATATTTCAAACACCTTAGTCTCCAGAGATAAAAATACAATATTACATTGTACATATGATTATGAACGCTCATCTCTGGTCTCTTTGTCTTGTGGGCTTGATATCATTTTTTTTAAACGCCAGCCTTTTAAGGTTTGGGATAGTGATATATATATAGTCTCGTAGAATCTGCCTATTGGTTGATCTTTGAATATACCCGTTGAAGCAGAGCTTCCTTTTATAGGTGTCCGTTGAGGCAGACATAGTCGTGCATGATCAATTCATTCTGCTTATTTAATGCTTGAGTTCTTGCATTAAATTTTGCTTCCTATGATAAACCCTACTTGAAGTCTTATTTATCTTGTTAGCAATTGTGTCTAAATATAGCAGAGACCTAGGAACCTTTTTGTCCTTTCCTGGTCACGTAGCTTGTAGAATGTTGTCCTTAACCGAAACAGTGATGTACTTTTTCTAACACACGCATGCTTTTACTTCTGGGCTTGATTTTCTCGTTTCTTTCTTCTTCTATTTTTGCACATTCACTTTAGAGTCCTTGTTTTTGTGTGGTTGTAGATGGTGCTTGATTTGTCCTTTGAGACTTGATTCTTCATATGCTTTCATGGTAGTCTTTGTCTGCGTCTGGTAGTCCTTGTGTATCTCAAGTCTTGACTTTCTCCTGAGTATTGAATAACTTTCGTCTGGGTCTTGTTGACTTTCGTTTGATGCTTCTTGACTTGTCTATGTGACGCTTTTGTCTGTCGTATTGTGTCATCTAATGCGTATGTTTGTTTTGTCGGATCCTTGTTTTGCTTGACCTTGCTTCTTGACTTTCTCCTGCTCTTATACATATCTGAAACACTACTACACTTTTTGTTAGTAACAACAATATGTCTTCTTATATGGAGAATTGAAGGAAGCAGTATATATGGATCAATCTGAGGGCTTCATCAAACAGGGAGAAGAAGATAAGGTATATAAGCTGAACAAAGCCTTGTACGGGTTAAAGTAGGCACCAAGAACATGGTTTAGCAGAATTGAAAGTTATTTCCAAAGAGAAGGATTTATAAATAGTAGTCATGACTATATACATCAAGAGAAGAGAAGAAAGACTAATCATGGTAAGTTTGTATGTTGATGACTTGATATATACTAGGAATGATGAAGAATTGTGTTCAAGGTTTAAGAAGTCAATGAAGGAAGAATTTGAGATGACAGACCTTGGAAAAGTGAGGTTCTTCCTTGGAGTTGAATTAAGTTAAAGTGCAAATGGAATCCACTTATCTCAAAAGAAATATGCAAGAGAGGTTCTGGTGAGATTCAATATGTGGAACTATAATCCTATAAAAAATCCAATAGTTCTTGGAACTGTGTTGTCAAGAAAAGGTGGAGAAAATGTCGATACAACCTTGTATAAGCAATTGGTAGGCAATCTAATGTACCTAACAGCTACACGTCCAGATATGATGTATGTTGTGTGTTTGATTTCACATTACATGGCTAATCCAAAGGAGGAACACATGTAGATTGCTAAAAGAGCCTTAAGGTACTTAAAAGATACACTGAATTTTGGTTTGTTCTATAGAAGAAGAGTTTCAAAGCTTTTGGCATATACTGATAGCAATTATGCAAGAGATGTGGATGACAAAAAGAACACTTCAGGGTATGTCTTTTTGTTCAATGAGGCAGCAATTTGTTGGAGTTCAAAGAAACATGTCATTATTACATTATCTTCTATAGAAGCTAAATATGTGGTAGCAACCTCATGTGCTTGCCACTGTGTTTGGGTGAGGGGTGTTATGGAACAGACTAGAGTTAAAAATTGTGAGTGTATTGATATTTTTTATGACAATAGTTCATCAATCAAGCTCTCCAAAAATCCAGTGATGCATCGGAGGACTAAACATATTGATATTAGATATCATTATTTACGTGATCTTTCAAGTCAAGGAGTGATAAAGTTAGTTTTCTATGGAACACAAGAACAGGTTTCAAACATTATGATAAAGCCAATGAAGCTAGACTAGTTTACGAAACTTCGAGGGCTACTTGGAGTACAACCACTTGAAGATTAAACCGAATGCTCAATGAACATTTTATTTTAAGGGGAGGAATTTGTTAGCAATCTTCATTGGAAAATAAACTTTGCTGAAATATTGGTCTGTTAGTTTGTTTACGTTTAATAAGTTTTTTTTTTTTTTTTAAGTTGAATAAGTATCTAAATTATTCTAATTTGTTAGGTTTGTTATTCCTAACTTTTCTCTAAGGTTGTTTACGTTGCAGTTGTAAGGCTTATTTAAACCTATTAGAGTTTGCATTTCAATATAAAAAAAAGTTTCTATCACTACTTCTCGAGCCACATAAGGCCTTCCTTTCCTACTAGTTATTCAATATTATAAATAATATAAAAAAAAATTATCCTATTTGGTGTACACGTTTATTTGGACAACTTTTTCTTGTAAACATATTTCAAACAACACCTTAAACTATTTTTTCTCTCCACCATTTTTCAAAATTACCTTCTCAAAAACTTATTATTAACCACTCAATTTTTTATTTAGGTTTTATAAAATACTCAGGTGAAATATATTGTTTACACTAGTTATTAATAAGTTTATGCATTTTGTTGAACAATTTTGTCCTTATAATTGTCTCTTAAATTACTCTCTCTCTACTACTTTATTTATTTATTTTTTTTCACTTTTCAAATTTGTTAAAAAAAACTAACCTTATAATTACAACTACTCAAAATTGGTTTACCCTCATGTTGTTAACTTTTCACTTTTATTTTATTTTAATTTTTAAAAAAATACACGGACCTTTTTTACACTAATGTGTATAGTTTTTATATTAATAATCACTTTTTATTAAATAAAAATAAATGCTTTTGATTAAAAAAATGATTATTTCCTTCGAAATAGTTAGAGCAAACATACACCTTCGATTCAAGAACCTAATTAGTATTGTTGTTAGATATGAAAACACCAACTTGTTAAAGGCGTCCAACATCACTGCCCTAAAGACATATCTAAAGTATCCATGAAAGTTGCTCAGGATACAACACTGCCCAAGACTTCCGAAATGTTCATGCAAGTCTCTCATAGATACAACAAAATTGTCATAAAATACTACAGTTAGAACTTTAGTACACATCATATAAGGACTGGTATAAAACTAAGTGATATGCATTCTCAGGGCCTTTTGATTGAATGAGACCCCAATGCTTGGAACATTGACTCATTCTTGAATTAAATTCTCCAAGGCAACCGACCATATTTTCAACATTGCATATATTACCTTACCTATGGCACTACACAGAAAACATAGACTTTAAAGATACATTCAAAATTTTCCATGCAGAATTTTTAATATGAACACGGACAACATTCTCACCTCTAATTAATTTCCATTCACTATATATGTTGTTGTTTCTCTACTTGGAAGACTCTTATTGCGCCTCATTCAACAGTAAAACATAACATTCTTCACCTTCTCTTTCAGAGCAGGTAGTGGCCGAACAGGCCCTTCTTTTGATCTTGTACCTCGCAGTTTAGTGATCTCGGCAACATCAGGTTCCATGTAGAATCGTGCTCTGTATGCTGCCAGATGAGCATAGTATGCTGGAGGCACTGCACACACAATATAAACTTTATGTTTGATATTAAGGGTAACTGATATGATTCAAAACCAGTTAGTTTGTGAGAAAATTTCAATGTTTGAACAAATGTGTCTAAGGATTGAATAACGAATTGTTTGTATTTGAAACTAACATTACTTATTGGCTGATTATAAGAGTTTTTATGTTTAGAAAGAGCAAGAAAATTACCTACAGAAACAGACCGTGTACACCTTGCATAACTGCAACCAAAATATTAGGACGGTTATGTAATCTTAAAAATAGCATAACAAATTTGAGATTACGAATAGAGAAATCATTTACGTGTAGCATAAATTGTTTGTCAGAGACTGAATCTCATCTGCAGTGAAATTGTTCTCATCCCAGAGAACATGATAGTGTGCTGGTCTACTTGTACCCTGTAAATTGCCAATCTCCAAGGTTAATTTGATGCTACTACATGCTAGACATTTTAATGGTTTACTGCAATGAGAGGCTGATTGCAGCAATTCACACAAGTTTGTAGTTCTTGGCTCCTTGCTAATGTAGCAACTACTTTAATTTGTTTCACTTATCTATATCTATATCTGATACAGCTACTCGTAGCTAGTTCATTTGTATAAGTGTCTAACCCTATAAAAAAATTATGAAAATCTAATAAAACAACAAAAGACATAAGCATCTATAATATAGAAACAGAAATATTGTTCCTTGATGAGCCAAAAATGGAAACTATCCTGAATAAGTTAACTTAAATTAACTCCACCCAATAACTTATGTTTTATGTCAAATTTTAACGATCTAACTATTAAATTAAAAGTTTTTAATGCATATCAAGTTTGCAAATTTTAAAAATAATTGAAAACTATTTGATGTTTCCTTTCAATAATTCAAATCAACGTATAAAATATTTTTATAATTATCCTTCAATTTGAATTAATGAAACAAAATATTAAATAGTTTTCAAATTTTTTAAGATTTTACAGATTTGATCTATGCATTAAAAAAATTTAATTTAACAGTTGAATTATTAAAATTTGATGTAGAACATGAGTTATTGAGTGGAATAAATCTAAGTAAACTTATTCTTGAAGTAAGTAGACTCCTCCTCTCTCTCTATATATAGATAAATATGGATATGTGTCTTACAAGTGTTGTATCCTATATTTATAGGATAATCATATTATTGGGGTTATTTTATGGTATTTGTCTGAGAGAATATTTTATAAGAGTTATTTTTATAAGGTTATTACACAAACATACTCCACAATGATGAGTTATTTTTACAAGGTTTTTTTAAAATTAAACAATAATTTCAAAGTAAGACCCATTGCTTGTCTCTTTGGGAGTATAAGGAACACTTTGATATATAAAGGCTCTACACTTGAGTGATTCAAGCATTGTGAGACTATTTTCTTTTGAAATATCATATATGTGCAACAGATGTTTCTCTCTCTATTGGGGTTATTTTATGGTATTTGTGTGAGGGAATATTTTATGAGAGTTATTTTTATAAGTTATTATTTTTTCTTTTATTTTATCGATGTGGGACTTGTTTGTATCCCAACACATATCTCATACATGTATCGTATCCATGCATCATAGGCAGCATCATCGATACCATTACCATACCTGAATTCCCGCATGACTGCATAAGTAGAAGTCGAATTCCGAAGGATGACAGATCTTAGTATCTACCACAGTACCTACATTGCAATCAGACCAATCGCTCAACTCTGGAACCGTTTACAACACAGGTTAATGAAATTGGAGAATGAGCAGAACCACAAGACTTTTTTTATGTCAAAGTAGTCTTCTAAAATTGTAATTGAATACATCTTCCAAGTACTTGCACATGGATATCCTTAAAATTGTTACAAGCACTAAGTCTAGCAGCTGGAAGAAGCAAAAAACATACCAGGTAAGATATTCCCACTCTTATCAGTGCTATTTCTGTCATAGTGATTGTTTGCAAAGAGTCTAGTGTGATGCCGTTTTTGAACAACTACAAATGTTACTGGAGGTTGGTAACTAGGTTCCAAAGACGCGCAAGCCTTTACACAATAAGAATATAAACATTAGAGAATGACATAGTAATAAAAAATGATAACCATGCTGAATTGTTATCTCCAAATACCTTGCGTATGGCATCAAGCTCATATAGCAAAACCTGGTAAAACTGTCCTTCACTTACCCCATCCCTGAAAATATATTGTACAACATTATAATTAAAGTAACTCCACATTCTTAACTTCTTTACAAGAACAATATCAGAAAGACATCACTCCTACCTGTAAAAGATTATTCTCAATGGTTTTTGTCCAGTTGCCTTCTTAAATGATAGTAAGAGCTCCCTGCAGTTTCACAAATTAGTATGAACTAATAGGCACGCAGATGTTGGATAATGTGAAATAATAAATGCTGATAAAACCATTATGATTTTCCTATTGGCCAACAATTGAACTCAGCCATTCTTTAAATCACAACTCTGAATCCAGAAAGGCTGTGACTATGTGATACTTTGATATTAGGAAATTGAAAAAATGCCAACCCAAGACATTGCAAGGCTTTTAAAGAAAAAAATCAGGTCAAGACAACAGTGGGGCCTATATGAATTTGGATCGAAGTATAAAATTTAACAAACATATTTCACAGACGCAATATGCACATGGTTAGAACTTAGAAGAGATGCTAGTCAAGTACCTGATCATACCACCATAAACTACACCCCTCTGTGGATCTTTCCAACTTCTGAAAAGATCTTGAATGAGTTCTTCTCGATGAGGCTGAGCACAAACCAACCCTGCATACTTTGTTACCTCAGGCCAGTCCTGGGATGCTACAACCTGGATTTCCTTAATCAGTATATATCAAACATAGGGCATCTGTTAGTTGAATATAGGAGTTTGGAAATGCTTACAGCAGCAATGGATGGACAAGAATCCTCTCCTGATTCTGGATGAGTTACATCAGCTCCAAAAATTATTGTTGGAATATCACTAACCAGTGGAATCCTCCAACTTAAAGCATCCAAAAGTACTGTGTTTCTTCCTCCCATCTACAAAAATAAATCATTTATTTGAGAAAATGAAATAAAAATAATAAGAACAAATAAGAAAATGACTTATGATATCGAAGTGAACATTTTAGTGTAGCATGTAGTCATCCAGTCACTTTGGATTGTAAAGTATGATTGAACATTTAATGATAACAGACCTTGACATTGATTTTTAGTGCCACATTAGCCAGGTACTGTCTATTGACCTTGAATACATGTTTTGTAAGGCAGCATTGAGAAATCAACCCCAGATCTGTTTCACAGATTCTTTTGAGATCACCTGAATGAAGAGTTTGTTTCTTTAATGCAAAAGTGAAATAATTTTCTCCACAGAAAAACTGGAATAAAATATAGATAATGAGAGAAGTGCTGAAGAAAAAAAAATTATATAAGCAAGAGGAATGAGGCATTACCATTTTACAGGCATAAAAAATAATTAAGAAAAAAGTGAAAATGAAGAAACATCAAGGTACACTATTACCTCTAAAAAATTTTGTAATTATAAACCAATACCATCTTAGCTATGATTCTGAAGTAATGCAAATGGGAGTGTCCTAGAATCATACCATACAGAGAGCCATTATTGTCTGGAAGAATGGCAATCAGCAACTCTAGCTCTTTCCCCTCAAGCTTGTCTATAGCAGCAGAATGTACGTACTTTAAAGCCTTCTTTACCTGTTCTGGTCTTGCCGAATATATAGGAATTGCAGGGTCATGACTGAATTCCTGTTAAAGATTAAAAGAACAATGTCATTGTCAAGTGCACATTCAACAATTACCGAACCCTTTTTCCAACAGGTGGGACAGGTTACGAGGATTAGGTGAGACCATACTATTATGCCATGAATTTCATGAACCAACTATTCCAAAATCCTGTTATGTGAACATATCCAAGCAGTTTTATATTGCATATCTAACATGCCCTCTCAAGCAAGAGCCCTTTCAGTTTGAAGTTTGGATAAATAATGATGCACACGTCCACTTTATGTTGAAACTCTACATTTTATGGGAAGAATGGGGATGATAAAGATCAAATTTTAAACCATTTGGTCATGACTGCGCTGATATCACCCAAAACTAAAACTTTTAGGTGAAGACACAAGAATGGTTATAGATTACATCTTTACAATGAATGTAGTTGAGTGTTGATGATGATATACAATGGAACATGAGTAATTATAATTTGAAAGAGTATCTAGTACAATTCAAATAAATAGTCTCTAAAAACAATTCAGCGAACAAGGCATAACCTAAATTTGAAACTTTACCATGCCTGAGATTTGGCACATCTGAACTAACTGTTGGCAAAATCCACGAGCTGTATTTTCCTGGACACTTCGTGAGAAGTTGATGCATGCCCAGTATCTCACAGTACTTCCATTTATAACTTTCTGCGTTAAAATTACCAGAAATACAATCAGTTTGGAACAAGTAAATTTCCTTGTCATTTATTTTAAGGAAAGAGCTTCATCTATTATCTGCTGATGTCTGAGCTGACCTTGTTCATCATATTCCACTGACCAACTTGTGGCAAATATTCTTTCTCTCTTCCTGTCTCATGATATTTCAGCTATAGGGAAAGGAAGAGCAAAAATATAATATCAGCATAATGGCAAAAGCAAACAACATTGGTAAACAATTTAATTAATTATGAGAAAATTACCCATGGAGGTGGAAGAACCCGAGCCTCAACTGATGCAAGCTTGTTGTCTATGCTGATGCCAAACTCCTTTGCATAGGGATTATTCTCGTAATTGTTTTGTTGAATTGTCTGCAAGTAAATAGAGAAGTTCTAGATAAATAAAACAGGCCAAACAGAACTTTGTGTTTGAAGAGGAATAGCTTACATGACTATAAAGGATGAAGTTACCATGATTGCAATTAATACATGGAAAAGACCTACATAAACAATATAATGTCCAATAGACTCAAAAATAAAAATGGATCAGAAAAGGAAGGATAGAGTTTGGAATGACCTGTAAAATGTCTGTCTCTTGTTCGCGGGGTCTCTGGCATGAGAACTTTAGCAGAGAAGTTATCTGTTTTTCATTTAGTCCTTTTGTATATCTCTGACCACCAACTATCTTGCATGCCTGGGACAAGATTCACATGAGTTCACCATGGAAAATCCAGAAACAAGTAATTTGATTAAATTCATAGAAAATATTACCTCCATGGGCAAATAGTTCACCTTCCTTTGACTTCCTACTTGAAGACAAGGTAGATGAGAATATTTGATTGTAAATCCATACATTTCTTGGAAATAATCAACTACTGATTTCATGTTCATTTGATCATCAAGAGGGAAACTGTTCAGCGGCAAAAAGAGTCAATCATACAAAGGAAGACATGTCTAAAAGGGATAAATTCAACCTGCTAAAGTCAAAAAAGACATACATAAGCTCCCTTGTAGGCTGTGAAGTTAGTCCTGATATTCTATACTTCCTCCGAAAATTTCCTCTATGTGTAACTTCAACTTTTACACCTCTTAGAGCCTTTTTGATCTGCTTGCCAGTGACAACACAAAGTTTTATTGGTTAGATATTACTTTAATAAGATAATTGTTTCTCTAAATTTGAGAGCTAAAGTTGTCACCATTTAGATTCTTCAATAACTGAGAAAGGAACTTGATTTCAAATATTTAATCATGAATCTCAAAATTTTGTAGGTACACTTGAACAAATTATGAGTTCAGGTCATTTGGAAGAAAGAGACTTTCAATTTGTTTTTTAGACTTTCAATGTGTTTATGCAAAGGACTTTTGACCTCAGAAGATTATGCCAAAATCTGTGATTGAACATCCCAGTGCAATTCAAGTAAGAGCATATCGGCGTATTAGCAATGACAACATAACTTATGATCTAGTTCTAAATTGTGGTCGCAGTTTTATTACAATCCTTAATATTGCAGAATATTGCAGACAAATGCGCTAATGTGGCCACAATTGCAGTCACGGATGGACCATATGTTAAAACCTTGCTTATGAGGCTTTACGCAAGTACATCATTCATTCATTCTTGATGAATCCTATAGTGGAACAATGAATGCTGAGTTTCCAAGAAAACAACATTTGTAGTGTTTTAGAACAATGATTGCAAAGTTTCAAAAAAAAAAATAACAACCATACCTTGACACGATCTGCATCTGACAATGGCTTTGATTGCACATCTTTTCCCAAAATTTGTGCAACAAAGTCAATCACAGGAAGTGGTTCAATAAAGGCCATTGATGACATATCTGAATGCAATCAAACATGTTGGAAGAAACATCAATGACAAAGGAGAATGGAACAAAGAAAAACGAAGAATTGCATCTAATTAATTATTATTAGTTGAAGTCTAACCAATGTTAAGTGACAATCCCATCTGAGTAGGCCTTATACTCTGGTAGAAGCCCCTCCATGATTCAAGGCCACCACCCAATTGCTGTGGTTTTCTTACATCTGGAGAATAGAGAAACCTCCCAATTGACACGAAACTACACATGCACATAAGAAACATGAAAAATAATCAGAATCAATTATTCAAATGGAGGAAACAACACATAATTTTCAAAGAAGAACAACCAAAAACACACCTCTGAGCCGCAAGCTCCCTTAACACAATGTCGAAGACACTTAGCGCTTCTTGTGGATTGTCCACTTGTTTCCCACTAAGAAGCTCACGTAGTTGATGCATGCTAACACGGGTTGCAAACTTGATGACCACCTTGAACTCCCTTTCCCTGTAACAAAATGGAAGTTTGGAAACTCGTTAGAAAGCAAAGAATCCCGTCAATTTAGCCCAAAAACGTGAAAGCTACAACAACTAATTAACTTCTGATTAAACATGGAAAATCACATCATGCAACCAAACACGCTAAAAATAATCAAAACTCCTTAAGACACTCAAAGCATGTTTGGACTTTGGATTCACATCAATTTTGGTTGAATGTAGATAAGAAGAAGCAACAATTAGTTCCTTTTGTATCAATTTTGATGTGATTCTTGTTCAATGGTGACCATAGATGTTGAACCAAACATGCACTCACATTCCACCAACCCAAAACTTCACTTGCAAATTCAGAAACTAATTACTCTTGTAGAAAACATGATAACTCAGACAATTACCTGGTACCACCGATAACATCATCATCCTCACTCAATGTTACATTGAACTCTTTGTACGTAAACGGAAGCAAACCAGCCGTGTAAAGGTTTCTTCCTCCATCATACACAGGGAGCCTCGTGGCTAACTCAGTGTTCCTATGAAGCCTCACCAACTCTGCTATGATAGCCTTGCATGTCTTACGAGAAGTGACTTCTGGGGTTATTTTAACCTTCACAAAAACAAGCACAACAAAACATAGCGAGTAAAAATAATAATAATTCCCTTGAATTTCATCATTCAAAACAAGATTTAGTAGCAATTTGGGGGTTCATAGATTTTGATGGAGACAATGTTCTTTTAAGCACTCTCAAGAAGGTGACAAGAAATTTTTTTTTTTTTCTTTCTAAAAACTGAATTGGACCATCCATGCAGGCTTACATTGTAATGGGTCAAGTCCGAAACTGATATATCTGCAAGAAAATGGTTGGCTTTGATGAGACACTTAGTCCCGAGTTGGCCATAGCCAGGCCTTTGATGAAACACAAGACTCTTGCAAGTGGCTGAGGAACCATGTTGTGAAACAAGTTCTGTTTCTTGCAACTTCTCTGGCTTGCACTGACTCCTTCTCCTGCACCTTCTTCTACGTTCTGTGGGCTTCTGGACACATTTCACCTGGTGCTCCTCTGGGTCCTTCATTTTGCAGTGTAGTTCTGTGGAAAACAAACACAACCCAGCTTCACTTATTTTTGTCTTTTAGGTGACAGGTTCCAGCTGGGAAAGAAAAGAAACCGAAAGATTTATATGGCACAACAAATTCCAAGTTTTCACTCACAAACAAAACTATTCATTGGCTTAATAAGCAAGAGTGCTGAGGGAAGAGAATAATGAGTGCAAGAGTGGGAAAGAAAGGAAACTTTGTAACGGCTGAAAAGCTGAAAAGAAGGGGAAAAAGAGGAGGGGAAGGTGGCATGACATCAAATCTAGACAGTGTTTCCTCTTCCCCTAGGCGCTGTATATTCTCTGAAAAGATGGGGATGATAAATAAAGTGACGTGCATATATATACATGCAAAACCAGAAATGGCCTATTTATATACTTTTCTAACAATAAAACAATTCTCAATTTTATTTTTTAAAACTAACGCAATATATATATATATATATATAT